GTACGACCACTAGTTCTCCCTGAGAATGTGGACCAACGATTCACCCAAGAATCTCGCACTAAGATAACCAAAGACAATCAAAGACAACCAAAGACACTGGTCGACGCCAGTCCTGTTGTTTTCCCTTAGGGATTGTTTTGTTTGTTTATTCTTGAATACTTTACTGAAAACGTACATCTATGTGCTTCGTCCTCTTATGCGTAATCGGATTATTCCCCATCGCAATGCAAGCTTGATTATCTTCCATAATCAGAGTAGGCTCATCTTGCTTTAATCCGAGGTCCATAAGTAGTTGACGAATATAAAGTGCACTTTGTGTCGCTGAACAAGCAGATATTAGCTCCGATTCAGCAGACGACAGGGCCACCACCTCTTGTTGCTTGGCTCGCCAATCAATCGTATTGACAATTTCTCCATGACTCAATGTAAAAGCATAACCAGACGTTGAACGTCTGTTATCTTTATCGCCAGCGTAATCCGCGTCCGCGTATCCCACCAGGGTAAACGATCCCGTAGAATTACCTGTGTATTTGAGTCCAACCTCACGAGTACCCTTCAGGTATCTCAATACACGCTTTGCAGCGATCCAATGCTCCTCATTAGATCCTTGCAAGTGTTTCCCCAACGACTGCACCGCAAATGCGATGTCTGGACGCGTGACCAGTGCTGCATACAATAAGCTACCCACTAGCTTCATGTATTCATTATCTGGTTTGACGTCCTTGCCATCCATTTTTGTCAGAGTCCCTTCCATGGGCGTTAGGACCGGTTTGCAGTCAGCCATTCTAAATTTCGCCAGCATCATATCGATATAGGCTGTTTGAGAGATTTCCATAACTCTCTTTCCTCGATCACGTTTGATTGCCATACCAAGTATCCAATCAAGCTCCTTCAAGTCTTTCATGCTAAATTCCCTCGAAATAGCGTGCTTGAATTTACCTACCATTTCCCTGGAGTTACTAGTGATAATTAAATCGTCCACATATAAGACGATAACCAATATTTCACCACTAGATCCAAACTTCACGTATAAGCATGGATCAGCAGAAGAAGGATGGAAACCATATCCTCGGAACCATCCATCAATCTTCTTATGCCAGTTTCGTCCAGATTGTTTAAGTCCGTATAGCGACTTACGTAATCGACAAACTAGCTCCTCTCCATTTGATCCATATTGCTCATATCCAGGTGGTTGTTTGACATATACCTTTTCCTCAAGGTCTGATTGAAGGTAAGCTGGTTCAACATCCATGTTATCCAGCTCAAGATCCAATATGCATGCTAGGGCTAATACCAAACGAATCGTGGTTATCGATGCAACAGGTGCATAAGTGTGGAGGTAGTCATAGCCAAATTCTTGACTATAACCTTTGGCAATAAATCTTGCCTTTCTCCTCACAATAACACCATTCTGATCTCGCTTATCAGTTTCCACCCAGCCACTTGAGATGCATCGTTCTCCCTTCGGTAAAGGGGTTAATTCCCATGTACCGTTTTTCATATGCGCCTGGTACTTCGCATCCTTGGCTTTCTTCCTTTCAGCTCGCACCTCATTCTCATCTTCCGTAAGATGATAGTCCTCGTTGACGATTTCTGAGGCTGCAGCGAAGGCCAAATCGCTTCCCATAGTTACTGGTCCATCATCCAATCGATGATGTTCGTGAGCCTTTGTCTTGCTTCTCATCATACGATTTTTCCTCGTCCCCAGAAATCAAAGCAACCCTTGCCCTTCAAGAAAGGCGCGAAAATCCGCCAAGGCACCCGCGGTTGAAGGCACCTTAAACAACGGAACGAGGCAGTCCAAACACGCGCGTATATTGAGGCGGGGATGGTTGAATTTATGCCGTTGCATCTCCTCGAACAATTCGTCGGTCAGAACGTCCCTTCCCTCCAACGACAAGAGCTCGTGTGCCCTGCCTCCTTCCCCCCTTCCTCCCTCCCGCCCTCCCCCCGCCCTGGGTCGGTCCCTCCTCCCGTTGCTCCTTCTCGGCCGACGCCCACGATGGACAAGGGCGGGCAGGTCATGGACTCGGCTCGGGACGCGAAGGTCCTGGCATCAACAGGCTCGACTTGCTCGCGGCTATTCGCGTTCCTCCCTGCGACATGAGGGGCTTTCACACTCCTCCTCCTGCCTACTTTCCCGCCCTCCCCTTGGGCTTACTTCCGCCACGACCTCTGTGGCAGCCCTTGCAAGCCTCTCCTCTCTGGCGCCACTCCCCTCTCCAATATCTGCGAAGCCGCCGGGCCATGGGCCCATCCGAGACCCGAGGCCCGCCGAGGCAACGAAGGTCTTGTCTTGCTCTTCCATGCGTTTTTGCAACCGAGCAATGATGCCCTGTTTCTCCTTGATCAAAGCCTGGAAACATTTCTTCTCCGACTGCAACGCTTGTACCTGTGCTTCCAGTGACATTTCTCGGGAGTGGGTGGAGGGGCGATCCCTGAAGCGCGTTCGGCTTCTTTCCCCTGCGCCTCGGTGATGCCTCCATGCCCCTTCGGCCGCCCACCACCCCCTTCAACATCGCCACTTCCTCCTTCAAGGATCGGACTTGCTCACGCAGGTGCTTGCTCTCCCGCTGCCAAGACACAAATTACTGTGCCAAGGACGGCTCTGCGTCCGTCGTGGTCGCTTCCTCCGTATTACCTTCTAAGCCCCGGCTCTTTTCCACAAGGTTTTGCGCGTGTGCCGGTGAGTCTCTGTTGATAACAAGGTGGGGAAAGTCCTGCCGATGGTTGTGGCCATGGACGATGTTCCTACGCCTGTGGCATAATCAGGAAGGATATATTATGACACTGTGAATAGGCTACCGTGTCGCAGGTCCCCCCCCAAAAAACGTGGTCCTTCCTACAACCATATCTGCCCACCAAAGACCAATACTAAGGCACGATTAGGAGTCATCACGTCCTCTATGATACTTCCACAGATGAAAATGTTGCACGTGTGTACGCACTGTGTGCGTGAGGACGCATTTTTCGATGTAGTGTCCAGCCGGGTCGAAAAGAGAGCCACCTCTTTCGTTGAGGAGTTAAAGAAATAAAGCCATGCAAACACCCACGACGTCTCAGTCCAGGCCGCGTGCACGGAGGAAATGGCACAACATGCCCACGGTCAAGGCAAACTCGCTTTCTGACACTTCATTCCACTAGGTTGGACACGAATTAAGGCTTTGGGGGGGCGGGCTTTCTACAGTGATACCCATCGCCTTCTCGCTGGGCCTCCCTTCATTCTTTCTCGACTTCAATATTACTTTTTCATTCCCAAAAACGACTCGACCAATTATAGCATCTCATGTCTAGAAAGCTCAATCCCCTCCTAATTAATTTATTATTATGCAAATGTTGGTCAAGTGTTAACCCTGGCTCAAGTTTCGTCTCGCAGGAAAGGCCGAAGCTCGCGCCTCGGTCCGGGTATGCTTGCCCGCCAACTGTCTCTCGCTCCGAGGGCCCCCTCGCTACCAGGGGCCTGGACCTCTTTCCGGGTTCGTGCGCTAAAACACGGTGTTAATTTATGTTGATAGAGATTGCTATTATCAGCACAGTCTTCAAATATTAACCAATTGGCTGGAATCGACAAATTGGAATGTAATGTACCAAGTGTTTTACATCCACTTAAAAGGACAAGTTGCTGCCATAAACTCAAACTTTCCAGTCACTAACTTCTTTTTTAAAAAAGGCTCGTCTTCATAAAGATATTCAATATCTAAATTGCAATTTCAAATGAACAAGGCGCTATCACAGACGCATCCGCGCTTCTCGTCAGTCCTCCGTGAATTATCGTCTCATTATTTTAATCAGGAGCACTTAATTCTCTTTCATTCCTTCGCACTTTCAGGCTCTTCCTAAGGCTTACACTCTTGCATTTGCTCATAATCACGCACAAGCCCTGCACAGCAACCTGAATTCATATATACTTTTACTCCCCGCAAAAGTTCATCCTGGACGACTGCTGCACTATTAGTACATACAGAACGCGAGGCCCAAGATGTCAAACGTAATTATGGTACGTGCGTATCAAAATATCGTCACGTTGTCTTCGTTAAGAATTTTATTTGCTTTTTAGTGTACCGAATTGCCTCTCGTTTGACTATTAACTTTGGCGTATCGCAACACCAAAAGTGCAGAGTCAGCACATCGGGAGTTGCAAAAAAGCGAAGCCATGCATAAGCCCTTAATGAAATGAAATGGTAGCCCAAGTGCCCGTTTATTGAAGTACAGTCCGTTTTTTTCTAGGGGGCATCCGAGCCACCCTTAGGCCCATCTCAGGTCCGCCTTTGATTCACGAAATGATGGCAGTTTATTAAAAAGTTAGATTTTGATCATGAAGTGCGGGGACCAAGTTTTATTCTGTAGCCTTTTTCCACTCTTTCATGAGTATCCTCTGGCATGCTAAGGTTCCTTGCAACAAAGTCGCGTCCCGGAGGGTTAGAGAGATCATATGATGCCTGAGGACACGGTATGATACTCTGCTCCTTGACTTGAGGGAGACAGGGCGACCGGCGAGCTTTCCGAGCCCGACAAAATCGAAGGATTGGAACGAGAAGTATTGTGTTGGTATTTGCGCGTACATTCGTGCCTCTACAGACCAAGTTTATTCTTCTTTACCGTGAATAGGAATAGCGCGACAGCATGGGAAACGATGTTAGCTCCAGCATCACAAGCATACGATCAGAGGAGGACCGACGACAGGCGATTCGACGCATGGATGGGGCCCTTCAAAAGAAATTGGGCAAGGGGGTCGCACACAATTTGAAGATTATTATCAGAGGAGAACGCGGCAGCGGTAAAAGTGCTTTGCTCAGTAGACTTAAAGGTCAACCTTTTACATCTTCAGTATATGAGCCAACGCCTGAGATCGAGACGGCGACCATTAATTGGAGCGCCAAAGAAGATGGTGCTGTGGTCAAGGTAGAGATTTGGGACGTCGTTGACAAGGGGTTGGGCCGACGCGGTAGTTTGATCGGAAATAATGTGAGGGGGACGGGCACTGTCGCGCACGACGGCGGCGGTGACCCTGATGCTCTGGCAGGGCTTCCGCTCGACGTACCAGTGCACGCCCAGCGCGGGCACCATGCAGGTGCTTCTGGGAGTCATGCATTTGGTGTATTGGATGCCACCATTGTAGACGTTTGGAAAGGGTCGCATGGAGGTATATTCATGATGAATCCTTTCTCCTCGACGGCGCTGCAATACGTCCAAAAGCAACTCGCCGAGGTACCACGGGGCATTCCTGTCCTTTTGCTGGCGAACTTTCGAGATTTACTTCTTGACGACACGCAGGAGGGAAGGAAGCTTGAAGAGGACACCAAACATGAGGGTGAATCGGTCGAAGCTGCTCCCGTTCGGCCTCGTCGAGTACATTTCAATTTGCGGGACCTGCAGGAAGTGAGCGCGGAGCAGACAGCTCAGGGGAGGACTTGCCATGCTTTCGCTTGCTCCATGCAAAATTGTTTCGGTTTAGCTCAACTCTATGCCTATCTCAACATTCCGTTTCTGGCTATGAAAGGTGACGTGCTAGAGCGTCAACTGAGCGAGACTCGGCGGGTGCTCTCGGCCATGACGCTGGAAGTGGAGGAAGGGATCGACCGGGGGTCTTGGGGGGACTATGTGGCCGCTTTACGGGCCAAGGAAGAAGACCACGCCCCCGTGATCGAGAAAAGTAACAAAGAAGCGCGGAAGCCGCAGAGCGTCAGGGTCCTCCCAGATACCGTCGTCCCAGGTACCTCGAGGGAAAACACTGGAGTGACTCGCAGCAAAGGAGAGGGGCACAAGCCGGTCGGCCACGTCTCCTCGCCGGCGGCGGCGGTGGCGTCAAAGCACCCCAGGCCGATCCAGGGAGACCCGCAAGCGTGGCCTGGTGTTACTTGCAGATCGACGCAAGGGCCTCAGCGGTCCTCCGTGCAAGAAAGTGGACTAGTGGACGTAGAGGACTTCAAATTTCAGCCGAGGGAGGGGAATGAACAGAATGAGCTGACGCTCTTTTTGGCGGAAGCTGAGGGGGGATCTACCGAGGATGATATGAACGAGGAGCGGAGGCGACAAAGCCTAAGGTCTTGCTTGAAGCCAGGGTCGCTGGCGTCATTGAGCGAGGCACAGCGCCGGGCGACGGGTGTGGTCGGATCGGGAGACGTTAGGGAAGGAGATGAGGGAGAGGAGGACGAGGACCTGCCTGCCGAGGAGGGCGAGCAGCGCTACGTAGGGCTCAGGCCGGTGAACTTGCCCGCTAAGGATATATCACTTTCTGAGCGTGGCTGTAATGCTGACAGAGGGAAGGGCTCTCTGTCCGATGACCAGAAAAAAGGGCTTGTGGGGCCTTTGTCGGTGCATGAGGATGGGTTGGGGGTCTGGATGACAGCGCAGGGAAAGGAGAGCGACGGAAAAGACGATATAGATATTCCCGCAGGGCTTCCACTACCACTCCACTCTCTCGACCTCTCCCAGGCAGACTCATCTGAAGGGGAGGATTGTGACCAAGGAATTTTTAACCGTAAAATTCAGCAACCTGGCGACTCAAGTCTACAGAGGACTGGAAATAACATGGAAGGATCCTTGTCTTCATTTTCAAACTCTTCAACTACTGCAGCTCCTCTT